CCAGATTGCAAAGTCGTTTGAACTGCAAGGTCGGTGGTTCAAGCTCACCAACTGCTCTTCGGAAATGCTATACTGGATCTCTATGGGTCGGAATCAACTTGATGGCACTTAAGAACAACAACATCCACAGCACTTAACAACAGCTTTAGAGTTGTAGTCTGGTGTGCCACTCTAGGACAAGCACTGGGCTGCTAACTGTAAGGTTGGGGGTCCAAGCTCAGCAGTCAGTCCTCAGAAACACTATACAGAGTCCCTATGAGTCAAAACTGACTTGATGGCACTCTAAGGGAATGTTTTCTCTATCAGTTCTGGAGTGAAGCCTTTGTCTCTGTGAGCTTCTGTTTCTTCTTGTTGGTCTTCATGGGGTTTGGTATTTCTCCCCATCTCTACCTCACTTATTTATTTAAACCTCTTTTATAGCTCAATAGGGAGTCATGGTGTAGGGCTGCTGGACTGCAAGTTTGATTGAAACCACAAGGTTGTTGGTTCAAACTCACCAGCCACTCCTCGAAAACCCCACACAGGATTTCTATGAGTCAGAACTGACTCAACAAACAACTCTTAATAACAACAACAGAGCTCAAAACAGATTGATTTAAGATACAGCCAACATTCATTTTGCCTTATTAACAAAGCAAAGACAACCCATTCCCAAATGAGATTGTAACTATAGGCATCGAGGTTAGGATTTACAACACAGATTTTTTTTTTTGGGGGGGTGGACATAATTCAATCCACAACAATCATGATGCTGCTTATTTATGTAGTTGTGAGGATTTCTGTTTTCTTTACATTGAGGTGCAATCCATACTGAAGGCTGTAGTCTTTGATCTGCACCAATAAGTGCTTCAAGTGCTCTTCACTTTCAGAAAGCAAGGTTGTGTCATGTGTATACTGCAGGATGTTAATGAGTCAATCTTCAGTTGAGATGCTGTGTTCTTTATATAGTTCCGCTTCCAGGTTATTTGACCAGCATACAGACTAAATAAACATAATGAAAAGGATCCAACCTTGACACACACCTTTGCTGATTTTAAACTATTTAGCAACACCTTGTTCTGTTTCAATGACTGCCTCTTGGTCTACCTTCTGTTCTGGATGAGCAAAATGAAATATTGTAGAATTCATTTCACTTCTTGCAATGTTATTCATAATTTCTTATGACTCACACAGGAAAATGCCTTGGCATAGTCAATAAAATATATGTAAACATCTTTATGGTTTTCCCTGCTTTTAGTCAGGACCCATCTGACACCTGCTATAGTGGTTACGAATCGGGCTGCAAACCTCAAGGTCAGCAGTTTGAAACTACCAGCTGTTTCGCGGGAGAAAGATGAGGCTTTCTGCTCCCGTAAAGATTTACACCCTCGGAAACCCTGTACAGGGTCGCTATGAGTCGGAACCAACTCCACGGCACATAACAACAACAACATTCTTCTTATACATATGCCTGTTGTTTCCAGGTTGCTACAAACTTCTTTTCTTAACTTGACCCTAAACCCTGGTAATCTTTAAGAGGTCAATCTTGTTTCTCTCTGATCAGTCCACACATGTCCCTTAAGATATTGTCATCTTGTTCATGGCTTAAGTTAGTATCATTGTGCTAGTGACTCTGAATCAGCCTAACCCAGTATATCAGTAGTCCAGATGGCACCACCCAATGACTCTTCTTCAGTTCTCCACTGGCACCTTCAAATCTACATTTTCCCAATCAAGCTAGTCTTACTTCTTCCTCTCACCTAAATCTATTTATTCTGATGTTCTCTCTATCTGAGTGCAGAAACAATACGTACAGCTGCCTAAATCAGAAACTTGAGCATTATTTTTTATTCTTGCTTCTCTCATATTAGTAGAATTCACTGAATCATTAAGCCCAGCAGAATCTACATTCTGCCATAATTTTTGTAGCTATCTGCTTCTGTCCTTCCCCAGAGAGACAACAGAGTGGACTGTTTTATCAATCCAGGCTCTGGGTTCAACTACCTAAGTGTGTACAACCAAAGTACAGTTTCAATTTTGTAAAGAAATTAGAATGTGCCTGACACACAGTCAGCCTTCCATAAATATCTTGAGTCCCAATGTTATTATTTCAGGACAACATCCCTTGTCTGGATTGTTAACAATTGCTCTTACCTAGTCTCCATGATTCAAATCGAGTCCCTTTGTAATCTCTCCCTGTAAAACAGCCAGAATGAATTTTCCAGAAACAGAATCCCCTCAGACATATTCATGGCCTTGTGATTTATCAGTTTTATGCACCATAAGCCCCTCCGTGGTCTGAGCTGGGTCTTCTTCCCTCTCTGGCTACTCCACACTACAAACATAACCAACTATTTGTCTTTCTCTGGTAGCTTCAGGGCTTTGTTCTCATCTTGGCTACTTTTCTCTTCCTGAAATTCCCACCACAGCACCCCAAGGACAAACAGCAGGAAGAAGGGTCTCTTTCCTGGGCGCACAGCTGGAGCCAGAGCAGCCTCAGGGTGGGAGGGCTCAGGGCTCTGCATCGTCTACACCACCAGTTGCAGGCTCCCTCTCTACTCCTGCCTGTCTAGGTGCCACTCCCCTTTGCCACAAGCGACCTAGAGGAAAGTTGGAAAGGTGTGCAGGTGAGGTGGGCACAGTGGCCTGCAAACCCGCCAGACTCTAAATGGAAGGGATTAACAAGTTCATTTTTCTTTCTCCTATTTCTTCTCTATTTCTGATGCTGCTTTAGGCCCTTCTCGATCCCACGTGCCAGTAACTCCACTTACCTCTTTTATTCTCGCGCACTTTTCCCTCGCTTCGTTCACGTGCGCCCAACGGAACCGCCCAGGAAACAAAGTCCTGAATCGCCTAGTGCTGGGAAGTCAACTAGCCCAAGACCCCGAAGCCGGATCCCCAGCTCTGCGCAGAGCACGGCACGCTGTGCTCTGGCGCCCCTAGCGGCTGTCTCCGGCAGTCAGCCTCGCAAAGGCCAGCGGCTGGAGGATCTACTAGGCACAGAGCTGGGCCATGGCATCAGGGAGGACCTCCCTCTGCCCAGGCTGCCGACTCCTGGGGCTAGTCCTGGCGATGCTCCTGGTTGAATCTCGAGGCGAGGACTTAATTTTGCACCCTGACTGGGGGTTTGACTCATACGAAATCACCATCCCCAAGAAACTAAGCTTCCGGGCTGAAGAGCAGGGTGTGGCCAGGCACGAGGCCTACCTCCTGAAGGTAAAAGGCAAGAAGCATGTCCTCCACCTGTGGCCCAAGAGGTTTCTGTTGCCCCGACATCTGCGGGTTTTCTCCTTCACGGATCAAGGGGATGTTGTGGAGGACCACCCTTACATACCGAATGTCTGCAATTACTTGGGCTCAGTGGAAGAGTCTGAGGAATCGGAAGCTACGTTGAGTACGTGCACAGGGGGCCTCCGAGGCATACTGAAAATTAATGAGGAAATTTACCAAATCGAACCCCTCAAGGATTCTTCCAAGTTTGAACATGTTATATATTTCCTGAATAAGGATCACTTTAGCAATTGGACCTGTGGTTTAACTAATGACCGGCTAGAACTGCAGATGGCCCAGCGCGAGGATATGACTAGAATCAGGGACTTTTCTGGATCCTACATGCACCAAAAGTATATGGAATTGGTCATGTTGTTTGATCATGGTAGATATGTGTTTGTAAATTCCAATCTAACTCAAGCTGTAAGCGACGCCTTTATTCTTACCGGAATTATGGACACCTACTTTCAGGAAATCAGTATAAGGATACACTTAAAAGCTCTGGAAATATGGACAGACAAAGACAAAATAAACATCGAAGTAAGCAAGTTAACTGAAGTTCTAAGCCAATTTTTATTATATAGAAGAGACATCTTAAATGCTCGGATTCTATCAGATTGGTCACATTTATATGTTAAGAGACAGTTTCCCGATGCTCTTGGATGGACTTTTGTTGGGTTAATGTGTACTAAATTGTATGGTGGATCTACGAGTATTTTCCCAAATCTAGATATCCTTGGACCTGGCACGTGGTCTACTCATGAACTTGGTCATGGTTTGGGAATGAAACATGATGAAGAATACTGTCAATGTAAGGGTAAGCATAGTTGCATCATGGGCACTGGACGTTCTGGGTGGAGTAATTGTAGTTTTATCTATTATTTGCAGTTTGTATATTCAGGAGCATCTTGTCTAAATAATGTACCAGGAATAGCTTATATGTTGGAGAGATGTGGAAACAAAATTGTGGAAGAGGGTGAAGAATGTGATTGTGGTTCAAGATCAGACTGTCTTAAAGACAAATGTTGTCAACCAAATTGTAGATTCAAACATGGTGCCAACTGTAGCATTGGTCTTTGCTGTCATGACTGTCAATTTCGCTCATCTGGATATGTATGTAGGCAGCAAGAAAATGAATGTGATCTTGAAGAATACTGCAGTGGAACCTCAAGTCATTGCCCCGTTGACATGTACAAGCAGGATGGAACCCCTTGCAGATACAAAGCCCATTGTTTTAGGAAGGGCTGTCAATCTAGGTTTATGCAATGCCAAAGACTTTTTGGACCTGATGCCAGGAATGCTCCTACTCGGTGCTATGATGCTGTGAATTTAATGGGGGATCAATATGGCAATTGTGGTATCACAGGAACTCATTCCTATCAAAAGTGTAGGAAAGAACATGTACTATGTGGCAGGCTACAATGTATAAATGTCAAAACTGTCCCTGATATGCCAGACCATAGTTTAATAATTAACACTCATCTGAAGAATGAAAATCTCCTGTGCTGGGGCACAGGCTACCATCTCGGCATGAGACCCATGGGAATCCCTGACTCAGGTGTGATAAATGATGGCACCCCCTGTGGAAAGAATAAGATGTGTCTTAACAGAAGTTGTGTTCCTTTCTCTGATCTGCAGTACGACTGTTTACCCGAGAAGTGTAATAACCGAGGCATTTGCAACAATAGGAAACACTGCCACTGCATATATGGCTGGGCCCCTCCATACTGTGAGGAGGAAGGGTATGGAGGAAGCATTGATAGCGGGTCTCCAAGACCGCTACGTCAGGAGGTGCCTTCGTCAGTTCAGATTGTGTCTATTATGCTATTACGCCTTATTTTCTTAATCATCTCAGTGATTATTGTGTTTTTAAGTCACACTATATGAAACAGTTTAAAACTCAATCTGAAAGGAAAAAAAAAACAAAAACCTTAAATAGCACTAGAGACAAAAAAATCTAAGCAAAGAATATGAGTCACAAAACCAAAAAAGTAATCAGGTACTCTTCAGTTACTCAAAAATACAGGATCATTTATGGAACAAATTTATCACTTGTACTAATGGGTTTCATTCTTTTCCCAATATTTTTTACTTAGTTTTCCTTCAAGTTTTGATTGGCAGATAAATACCCTTGTTTTGGAAACAACTCAATGTATTTTGGTAAGTATTCACTGGACCCTTCGTTTTGTATCGTAGATTTGTGTTCTCCAAAAGGTAGGCTGGAATCCTAATCCCCAGTAACTTTTAATGTGACCTTGTTTAGAAATAGGGCCTTTGAAATGCTATCAGTTACAGCCTAAGCTGATGTGATTTTTTCTTAAGAAAGAAAAAGAAAAACAACACAGAGAAAGACATAAAAATCAGTCATGTGAAGGTTGAGACAGGGAGCTGTTGCTGCAAGTCAAGGATCACCTGTAGCTGACTGCATCTGAGAGAGACAAATAATCTTTCTCTGGAGATATCAAAGAGGACATGGGTTTCCTAGTCTCCAGGATTGTGAGACAATGTATTTCTGTCCATATAAGCCACCCATTTCATAGGACTTTGTTATGGCAGCCTTTTGTCATTGTTGTTAAGTGCCATTAAATTGGTCCCAACTCATAGTGACCCAATATAGGGTTTCTAAGGAGCAACTGGTGAGTTTGAACCTCCGACCTTGTGGTTCAAACTGACCTTGTGGTCCAGTGCTTATCCTACAGCACCACAGCAGAATTTAGGAAACTCATATAGATTTTGGTATGAGGAAATGGAGTTGCTGCTATAATAAATGCCTAAAAATATGGAGGTAGATTTGGAATTGAATTATGGATACAGATTGAAAGAACCTTGAGATACTTGATAGGAAAAGTGTAAACTGCCTTCAGGAGATTGTTTGTAGAATTATGGATGTTAAAGGGGCTTCTGACCAGGGCTTAGAAAGAAGTAAGTAGAGCTGTAGATAAAAATTCTGTTGCTTTGTAGAATACACATATTATCATGAACAGAATTCTTTTAGAGATCATTATAAAGTAAAAGTCTAGGAATGTTTGATGGATTAGACATGAAGACTAAATGAGAAGAAAGAGTCAAGGACATTTTCAAAGTTTTCAACTAGAGCTTGCATTGAAAAGCCATTTCTTAGTAGGCAACCCTGGAGAAGGAACACGTTTAGGGAGAGATGGAGAAGGCTTTTAGCACAGCCCAAGTATTGGAATTGAAATGCCTTTAGATGATGTTAGGGACAAGGACCCAGAAATTTCCCCAACCACAATTTTAGCTTTTGCTAAATAAGAACATAGGTACATATGGAAAAGAGTCCACTGCCAAGTAAGCATGGTGGCAGCATTGATGGACTCAAGCATGGCAACAGTAGTGAGGTTGGTCCAGGATCGGGCAGTGTTTTGTTCTGCTGTGCATAAGGTCACTATGGGTCGGTACTGACCTGATGGCACCTAACAACAACAACAACAACACTCTGTCAGTCAGAACACTGTCTAGGCTAGCCCTGGTTATACTACAGCAACCAACCACTCTAAAATCTCAGCACCTTAACTAGTGCATGCATTTCTTGCTCAGGCTATATATTTAGTGGGGGGTAGGCAATACCCAATGGGTAGTGTAGTGGTTATGAATTGGGCTGCGAACCGCAGGGTCAGCATTTCAAAACTACCAGCTGTTCCACGGAAGAAAGATGAGGCTTTCTGCTCCCATAAAGATTTACAGCCTCGGAAACCCTGTATAGGATTGCTATGAGTTGGAACCGACTCCAAGGCACATAACAACAACAATATATATATATAAAGAATCCAATGCTATGGAATGTGTATGGATAGCGTGTTTTGTTCTTTTATGTCTCTATCATGTGGTTTCCCTTTTATCTTTGGCTGTCTTTTTCAATTTTTTCACTGATATAAGTTTAAGAAAATATCCTATCATTGTCCTGAACAACACAATAATCATTGGGAAAAAGAGACAAATGAACCTGATGAGCAACGGGTGCCTTTTCTTGACTAACTTCTCTTTCCTTTTCGCCATAGGTCCACTATGAGGGCTCCCTCCAAACCCTTCCTCCTTACGGAAAGGAGGAGCCCAGTCAAATATGCAGTGGCAGCTTTTTTCTGCTCTTGCAAACCCCCTCGGTTATTGTGCTTCTCAGGCAAACTGTCAAAATGTAGGGTTGTGATTTGGGTGCATTCTCTGTTCACACATACCAAGTTCTCACCACAGGAAGCGCCATCCTTCACCATGCCCAAATCTGGTAGTCCACTGGCTCAAAAGAAGGCATGATACTCGATGCCCCAGTACAGGAGATTTTCCTGTTGTGGATGAGTGGCAATTACAGTCAGTAGTATGATCAGGCATTGCAGGATGGCCTTGACTGACACACTGGCCCCTTCCACATGATGCATTTTCAGGTTTACACCTTACTTATCATATACCCTGGAGTCCACAGTTTCCAAATTGATCACCCAGTAAATTCATGACATTGTAGCTATGATGTGGAACATCCATAGCTCCTTCCCCAAATATACTTTGGCACTGCAGGTACCGAATATAGCAGCCCTTCGAGTAACAAAAGGAACTAGCTCTGCAAGGCTTTTTAGAGTCATTTGGGCAGACACTTGAATTCCCATCACAGTACTCTATGAGGTCACATTCATTCAGTTCTGTCCTACATATGTATCTGGATGGACAAAATTGACAGTGATGGCAGAATAGACCAATGCTATATCTGGCCCCAGGTTTCAATTCACAATTTGGGTGGCAACATCTATTTCTAATACAGTCCTCTTTTGAGCCACAGGCACATTTCCTTCCCTTCATCTAGACTTTGCCTTCACAGTCTTTCAATGATGACTTAAGCAATCATCTCTGGTATATCGTTTAGACAAACCACCATTTTATTTATGAAGTTAAAATAATTGATAAAACGACAGTTACTGAAGCCATCATGCCTAGGACCATGATACAGCTAAACCTGCCTCTCCTGCACTGTCAGAGCTGTGAGTCATTCCCACACCATGTCCCAGCCCATATGTAAACACAAAAGCAGAAGAAATCACGTTTCCTGTTCTAAGAGTTCTAGTGGACACACCATGATATTTATGACAAACACCTTGGAACCAGCTCCACCCATGTGCATTACCAAAAGAATCTTTTCCAAACAAGTGTGACCAATCTGTTTGAATTTGAGGATATTGGACATCTATCTCTTCTATACTTAGAAAAAGAATACAGAGCATTTTATAGTCGTTTGTTGTTGTATTTATGTTATCACTATCAGTCCAGATTTCAAAAGTTTCTAGATGTTTCTGTAGATTCATCGAAAATTTTGAGTCCATAAAATCTACCATAAGAAGTCCTTCACAAATGATGTGGGTCTGGTTGTGATTCCTAAACACAAACGTCTTATGGCCAAATACAAGCTGCAACTCCAGATACTTTTCTGTGGACGTTGTTGTTGTTGTTGTTATGTGCCATGGAGTCGCTTCCGAACTCATAGTGACCCTGCAGGCTGTAAATCTTTACGGGAGCAGAAAGCCTCATCTTTTTAAATCTTTACGGGAGCAGAAAGCCTCATCCCGCAGAACAGCTGGTAGTTTGGAACTGCTGACCTTGTGGTTCGCAGTCCAATTCGTAACCACTACGCTACCAGAGCTCCTTTCTGTGGACATAGAGATCACGATTTTCCAGAAACTCTGGTGGTTCATGGTGGTGATTTAGCTATTTGCCACTCTATTTCTTCATATGTTAAGGCACAAGCCTTTTTAGTGCTAATGTCCTCATCTTTGAGGTGATAAATAATGGCTGAAAGCTAGAGGAGACTTTGAGGGGCTCAGTTTGATAAAGCTGCTCTCCCTCTTCAGTATGCCATGGAGGCCTTCCCCTCTCACCCCCCCACCCCCCGTGAGGAGAAAAGAGAGTGCAAGATGCAGAGGAACTCAGGAAGAAGAAGCAAAAGAACTGGAAAGAAGTAAAGCAAAAGGGAATTAGAAACCAGTGGAATTTACAAAGACCAAAAACATCTGTTCTAGGGCTTACTCTGTGCATCCTTGACATGCTTTGGTGTTACTTTATTTTAAATCAAAGTTGATATTTATCTAGAATTCTGGCTCCTAAATTCTTCCACTTCTTGAGGGGCCTTGTGGTTGAACTTATTGACTCATTCTGGGAAATGTTGTAATCTGCAGGAGGACATGAGACAGTTTTAGGACTTTTAACAGTCAGTGGAAGACAGTCTGTCTGACTAAATTTATGACTGTTTCTAGAGAAAAACTTACTCAGATCAGATCAGAGCAGGATGTCTCTACATGAGCAAGTAGATTAATCCTTGTATTTTCTTGTGGCTATCTGGTCACCCCTGGCCTGGCACCCTGTTTGGCACCTAAAATAGGTGTCAAACTGTAACGCAAAAACAACGAATATCAATTTAATGACAGTGCCAGTCCAAGTGATTGTGTTCTAATGTGATATGTAAGGCTGTTTTCATAGTACATTTAATTAGTAAATGCCGGGCAGTGTTAAGAGGTAGATACAGATGATAATCTAAGGGTTTAATTCAAGGTCAAATTGTGACCTTGACCCGAAGAGCTAAGACCAGGAGAGTTGTGGAAGAACATCATACAGGAAGAAAGACAAGAAAGAAGAAAAAGACCAAAATGGATATCAGAAGAGACTCCGAAATGCGCACTTCAGTGTAGAGATGCAAAAGTTAATGGAAGAAATGAGTTTAAAAAGCTAAACAGAAAGTTTCAAAGGGCAGCTTGAGAAGACCATCAAATATTATCATGAAATGTGCAAAGAGCTGGAGTTAGAAAACCAAAAAGGAAGAACACTCTCAGTATTTCTGAAGCTGAAAGAACTGAAGAAAATAATTCAATCATTGATTTGAAATATTGAAGGATTCT